CTTTACTCCTCAAAAGTGCAAAAACTTAGCTTCTTATATAAGATAAGATAATCAAAATATAGGTGATTGCAACAATTTTGGAAATTCGCGGAGGTCAAAGCCACATTTTGCGGGACTTCGCGGGACGCGGGACACGCGAATTAGACTAATTTTGATCAAATTCGCGGTACTTGACAGCTCTGAAACTATCAAAAACCACGCTTTAGGTGTGAGTACCGTAATCCGACACGAAATTCAAAAATTCTTGTGAATACTTTGCACTTATGGCGTTCGTGACCAACTATGAAACATTTACCCCCATAGTGTTATATATCAAAATGTACCTATTCGTATAAGGGTTCGATTATTCTACATCAAATTATGGGGAGTCAGGTTTCTTTTCGAGATATCAGTGTCCATTTATTGGAACTCGCGTTTGCTAACATTTGTTTAGTTCTGAGATGAAGGCCGTGACACGCGTAGTAAAAAGGCCAACGTTGGAACTAATCGTGACATACATCCCTATTTCCGTAATTAAAATGAAATTTGCACTCTTCCTCTTTATTTTGATACCAAACGGCATGCTAGAAGCCAACTATGGTGTTATTTGGATCAAAATCATAGTTTTATAAGTGTACTATATCACTGGGGAGTATCGTGATGCAACAACACCGTGTTGTTGCATCAAGATGGCCAGACTTCCGGTGATAGATTTTCGTACGATATGTTGTTTCCCCAATTTAAACCCATTTCTAGGACGAGTTTCTCAATAACCATACACGTGAAGTTAGCGCACGATCTATATTTTAAAAAACTCTCATTAGTATACAAGTAGCATCATCAAGAAGCAAGAAGTTCACGGTTTTAGTTCCTCACTATTGATGCAACAACACCAAACCGAAGATGCAACAACACTCCTCTAGATTTGAGCAATGATGCAACAACACCAATTAATAGTATAATTTCAGAAGACCATTAATCTCGAGAGGAACAGAATTTTAAATGCTACTATTGCAACACCGGGCCAGTACCCATTTGCGTTTTTCTCAGGCATTCAAAATACACGTCCTGCGGGCGAAGATTCTTTATTATGTATTTTCAAAAATTTATACTTTTAAATATCAGAATGTACTGGAAGTTGTTCTATAACATAGTTCAATCGCCTTTACCATTGCAAGCTATAGTTACCCAATCTATTATCATAAACCCCTGTTCCATAGATTGATGACCCTGATACCAGTTAGTATCATTCAAAATGGTGGACAAACATCTTTCGTTCTCGGTAAACACGAAGAGCTATTGGAAATATTGCACGGCGAACATGTAGAAGTATTGTTCTCTTTGGATTCGTTCTCCCCGGTTGAGTAAAAAGGTAGGTAATAGGATTTAGTTCCCGGAAAGGTTAATTGATAGGGGTACAGTTATCCCAGATTCCCCCTGGGCCCTCGGGATATATCATAATGTGTCCCGGAATAAAACCAATATTGACTCCCTCTCAGTAAAAAACCTCTATATAATAGCATTGTATAACTGCAATATCATTAAACCAACACTCATCGGAAGTTATTGCGTTTTGAAGTGTAAAATACGACATATATACGACCGAGCACAGCTTAATTTAATGAAAGCCTTTAAATGAAGGGTACCTCATAAGCAATCTAGCTTCAAAATTTGGACACAAAAATGTCTAGGTCAAAATCTAGGTCAAATTCAAAGTTTTCCTTATTTTTGTGATTCTGACACTACACTTCAATTATATTCTTCGAAATTGTGAATACATGACGAGTGTACTTATAGTGTTGGCCTTTTGCCGTCAGAAAGTATTTTAACCCACTTTTAAGATATGTAAAAAATTCTCCAAATTTAACGTTTGAGTTATGAATGAAGAATAGAATTTTCTCAGGATTCAGAATCTGCAAACCAAATTTCGATCCGACTTCCGGTTCGGAAGTTATGGCGTTTTGAAATTTCGAGAAAAATCGATCTGATGGTATCCTGATAGAAAGTCAGTAGCGAAGAAAATGTTGAAAAATCCAACTATCCTTCCATCCATCCTTCCTATCCTATCCTACTATTCTATCCTATCGTTCCTTCTTATTCTATCCTATCCTTCCTATCCTATCCTTTATATCCCTATCCGTTCCTATCTATCCTTCATATCATTTCCTTCCTATCTATCTATCTATCCTTCCTATCCTTTCCTTCCTATCCTTTTCTTCCTATCCTTCCTATCTTATCCTTCCTTGCTATTTTATCCTATCTTTCTTCTCTATTCTCTCCTATCGTTCCATCCTTTTCTGTCCTATCCCTCCTTCCTAGTTCATCCATCCATCCATCCATCCATCTTTTTCTGGATGACTCGGCTTAAAAAAGTCCAGATCTGGAGTCTGAAATTGAACTTGTTGTTCAATTTCCAAAGTCTAGTTATATTAGTTCTTTGTAAACAATTTCCATACGATATGGTAAATCGAGGGGATTTAATTTAAAAAATGAATAATCTTTATTTTTCAGATACAATATCAATGAGGTTGGCTCCCGGGGATTCAATACTTAGCCTATGTATTTAGTTTACCTTGTATATCCTTTTAACTTTGATAAAGACAAATACATTAAGGAACCAAACAAAATACATTTCATTTATGAACCACGCACTCACGCGTTTTATTCATGTCCTGACCAACACCTATAAAAAGAACATAAAACAGTTTCTCTTGATATTCAATGATACATTATATTGGCGTTTTTGCATCAGCACATTGGTGTTGTTGCATCATTGATAATAAACAGAGTGGTGTTGTTGCATCAATAGTGAGGAATTAAAACCGCGAATTTCTCGCTTCTTGATGATGCTACATGCATACTAATGAGAGTTTTTTTAAATATAGATCATGAGCTAACTGCACGTGTATGATTATTGAGCAACTCGTCCTAGAAATGGGTTTAAATTGGGAAAACAAAATATCGTACGAAAATCTATCACCGGAAGTCTGGCCATCTTGATGCAACAACACGGTGTTGTTGCATCACGATACCCCCCAGTGTATATGCTCCTTCCAAAAGCAGTCTTCGATGATCTGATGCACTGGGAGTTCGTCAGCACTTTTCAAATTAGGTAAACTTGACTCCTCAAAAGTGCAAAAAGCTTAGCTTCTTATATCACAATATAATCACAATTATTTAGCCTCGGGGATTGTTACAATTTTGAAAATTCGCGGAGGTCAAAGCCGTCATTTGCGGGAATTCGCGGGACATTGCGGGACACGCGAATAAGCCAAATTTTGGTCAAATTCGCGGGATAATCCCGCCATTCGCGGGACACTTGACAGCTCTGTAGTTATCTCCCAAGGATTTTTTCTCAGGTGGGTGTAAAATTCTCATTTTCACAATTCAGACAAAAATTAGTCAAAATATGCCAAATTTTCATTTCTCATTTTCAAGTGGGTCCAAATGGATTTTCAGGTGGGTGCAAGCCTATTTTCAAAATCTCAGGTGGGTGCTGCACCCACTTGCTTTAATGCTTGGGAGTTCACTGATGTATGGGAGGGACAAAATGCTCATTTTCCATGTTGGTGAAAAAGAAAGAAAAAGGAGTCTTGTTTGGAAAAAACATAAAGATTCTCCTGACCCATTTCTATACTGTATTAAAAGATCGCAATTATAAAGATAGTTGAAGTATGGTATGTAATACCAGATGCAGTAAAACCTATCTTAGTGAACACCTCTCTCTAGTGAACACCTGTATTTAGTGAACACCACTTCAAGACACATATTACATTGACTCATATATAAAATCCCCTCTCTGTAGTGAACACCTTCCTACACCGAACACTTTTTATAGCTCCAACAATGTTCAATACATACAGGTTTCACTGTCTATTATAAAAGCAGCTCACTTATAAAACAACGTTTTATTGAACTAAATTGATGATTGAGGCGAGGCACGCAGTTTCACATTAATCACATCAAAATTAGAATCAAGATCATCATCACAATAATTGGTTTATGATATAAATTTAGAACTGACTCATGACATGGACAAATACTGAGCCCTGGGAGAGGTTCAGACAAGTTTGCATAAATGTAATTCATCAGAAAAATATGTTATGTATTAAGAGCTATTGAACTTACATCATTTATTCATTATTAGAGTCTCTGTCTCATATGGTATTCTCTCTATTGGACATGTTTTGAAATGCTAACTCAAATTTTGAAGTTTTCACAAGAATTTGTAGTGTGTCACATGACATTCTTTCAATTGGACATGTTTCTAAATAAAATGCTTACTCAAATTTTTAAGTTTTCACTCAAATTAGCGAGTGTCGAGTGTCTAGTTGGCGCACTGCTTAGAAAATCTGCATCGTGCTTAAGTCCATATTTGGAAATACCTTGGTTGTCATAGAGATGTTTAAGGCAAATACAATGGGGGAGCCCACTTCCAGTCACAAAAGATGAGTGCAGACCATTACATTGTTGCCCAGGGAGACTTTGAGGAGGAAACAAGCTCCCAACCTGTAATTCTGATTGATTGACAGACAGGCCATATTCATTTTATAAGTACTGAAGATACATTTATTTTAATGCTACTTAATTTGATGGATTTGCTCAATTTCAATTATTGGTGGCTATTTAATTTGGCAGATTCAGGACTGAAGTTTAAATTTTGTAGATGCCTATGTCATTGTTATGATATTTTCTGTATTTCTTTTGGAATAATGTAGAATTGATGACATGTTGAGACGAAAAGGGTCCCCTGAAGTTTAATTTTTAAGTGCATTGGACAAAAATTCCAAACTGAAATTTGACGGATTTTTAATTTAGCGGATTTTCTGAATCCGCTAATTTGTCAAATTAAAACGGGAGCCAAATTAAGTGCATCTACAGTATTTCTTTTCTGCTTACAGTGCAGACCTACTCAAGCATCTAAAATCTAGTCCAATTTGGTGGAATGTCATTTTCAAAAGACACTCTAATGATATGAACGATGTCTGTCCATTTTGCTCTAAATTATACTAATTCCTTACCTCCTACTGCTCCAGCTATGTAGTCATTAAGGCTCATTTTCCTGAGTTGTTTTTATTCACGAGTTTACTTGATTCACGTGTTCTTGAATCCAATTTTATCCAATTAGTTTTTTGATGTACAGATTCATGTAGCAATTACTATCAATGCTCTGGTTTGTTTCTCTTGAAAGTACTCATGACTCAATGTTCCTGTAATTACTCAATTTTCATAATTTACTTCTAAATAAATGCTTCAAAATGTACTCAATGTTTGTTGATTGACTAAATGTTCCTTGAATCAGTTAATGTTTCTGAAATAACTCAAGTGTTTTGAGATTACTCAATGTTTCAAAATGTACTCAATGTTTGGGGATTGACTCAATGTTCCTTGAATTACTCAATCTTGATGTGATGACTCAAGGTTCTGTCCTGTGTATCAGGGTTCTTTTGTGACTTATCTGCTAATAGTCTATGGAATGATTCAAATGTAATCGGAATGCCTCACTTCAATATCACCAAAATTTCCTTTTTTATATTGTTTAATAATTGTAGAGATAAAATATCTTAGGATATACAATCTTATGCATAAAAAAATAATAGGTTTTATAATATTGATTTATCTTTCAATGTTTAAATATTTACTGGTGTATAAGCATTTAAAATACAAATTACTCTGTAACTACGATAAATATATTGTACTGCATAAATATTGTACTGCATAAATATGTATTATAATACTGCATCCAGGCATTATATTATTGTACTGCAAATTGTATAATCCATCCCAAACATGCGTGTTGTATGTATTGTTAGGAGTGTTGTACTGCAAATGTTGTGTTGTATGATTGTACTGCATACAAGCATTCAAACGCAGGTGGACCAATTAAATGATGATCTCTCTGAAAAAACAGGGTATAAACAATTACACCATGCAAATCGGAAGTGAAGAACTAGTATTGTTAAATGCAAAATGATAATTAGGAAAATATAATATAGGCTATATGGAGGATATCCTATGACTTTTTAGGGATATTATTTTTATTTTTTATCCATGATGAGCACAAGAGAGATATTCAATAGTCAATAAAAATGAGCTACAGAAAGTAAAAAGATATCATATTTATCCTATACTAATATATTGTATATTTAGTATGAAATATAAATGGGATACAATGAAATATATAATTAAAAACTTTTGATACATCAAATATACATATCATATCAATCATATCATATATAATGCTGTGTTCTTCTTACGATTTATACAAACAAAATGTCTGATTTAAACGATTTGATATGCTTATAATCCTTTTCTACTAATCACACAAATCTACCTTAAAGTTTGCTTGCTTCCCAAATGTTGCAGTATTATACCTATAGTCTAGCTACATGCCCTTGTGAGCCCCCCCCCCTACAACTCTGTGTGAGAAGGTGTGGTCAAGTAAAGGGGGGGGGGGAAGTGTCACAGGATCTTGTAGCTGGACATACCTGTATTATGATGTCATTAAGTAAATACATGTGCATGAAATACAGAATATCAAAGACAAGAATTTACAAAATAACTCACCCTGTGCTAACAGTATCTATCAATTTTAAAGCACTATACAGTATACAGGGCGTCAAATAAGTCTGTGCTCCCCCCTTAACTTTTTTAATTCAGAAATAACATAGGGTTGGTATATATCATCTTAAAGGGGAATTTAATTTGCTGATCAGACACCAAATTTCAGAGTGATTGGTTAAATTCCAAATTTTTTAGAGTATTTTTAGTGATGTCCATATTTCACTTTTTTAAGTCTGTATGTCTTCCTCCCGGAAGCCCGGATGGCCTCAATTCTACAAGGATTTGATCCTGCATAAATCATTCAGAACGTTTAATTTTGGCTGTTATCAACTATTTTGTGATAAAAGGTGCCCCTGCTTCAAAAGCTCCCCTAAATGTAACACATTTTACTCTGTAACGATATTGATAAATATCAAAATCCAGCCAGGAAAAAACAAAAAAATCAGCAACACAGGTCAGGAAAACACTTCCAGTCAAAAAGAAGAGGGAAAATATACCCCATTTTAGTGATTTCCATGGTCTTTTCTTGGAATTGGGCCTCATGTTGTGTTATTATTATTATTATTATATCTTGGTTACCGCCATATTTGGCGAGCAATACCTCATTGGTATATTTCGTATTTTACGTATTTTACACTCGAAGATAGAGCCAGAAACCCCTCCTTGAAGGAGCCCTGTTTTCTTTTATGTGCACAGGTACACAGACATACAGGTACACACCACAGCCTTTTATACGAGTCGTGAACCACTCAGTCAAACACCCAGAATTACATAACGCACAAACAAACTTGTCTGAACCGGGAATCGAACCCGGGGCCAAGCGATATTGGTAACCTTGACTCTCTCTGTCACTGAGCCATAGCGGGTGGACTGTTAAGAGATTAAAGTACCATTGGGGAAATACCAATTTTATCGAAAAACCCGTCAGAAAGACGATATCTAGACAATTGAAGGAGTCATGATTCGTAATTCCAATATGGCATTTTTCTAGGATTCGTGAGAGGTTAAACTTTGATAAGTTCTAGATCACAATTCCCGCACAGGATCGCGAATTCCTACATACGAGTGCTAGATTAGATAAAATACTTGAAGAAAATGCAATAAAATGAGTTCCATCGATCGATTTAGACTTTCCAAGAATGTAAGTTCTGTGGTGACTTCATTGGTTTGTCACATTGACAGAAAATTCAACGGCGATTGAACAGTATTTTCCCCACAATTTTTGAGTGAAATACTTCCCAGGGATTTAATATACCATTGATGTTTACCAAAAGTATGTACTATAAGAGTTACTTAGATTGTATTCATTATATGTTAATTTAAAAACAAAACAGATTGTTGAGATTTTCAAATTTTTGATGTATTCATACATCTTCATCAGGTAAACTCAGTTAAACTTCATCAGGTGATGAAGATGTTTAGATTGTTATATATTAAACACTGGGTCTTTTAATTAACATGTTGTTTCAAATTATAAATTACAATGGACATTTTGCTTATTAACGCGTGATTCACGTCAATTGACGTGCAAAATGGCTATCTCCGGGTTACACGTCAAATGGGGTTATCGTCAGGGTTATCGTCATCACTGTTAAATAAGAATGGTTGTGAATGAGAGTTGATTTAAGGTGAAACCTGGACTGCCGGTTAATTTTAGAAAAACAAGTTTGCATTCAAGTTATTTTATGTTTAAGGGCCTTATTTTCTATTTAGGTTTAAATGCAAAATTCAAAAGTTTGTGTGACCTAATGCGGGGATGGGGTGAGAATTTGATGAAATAATTTGGTCGGTCAAAATGCTTTCCATGGAACACATACATGTATTAATGTCCCCACCCTGGAGGCAATAAATCTGGTCAAATATTACTGACTCCTGAACCTTGTATACTGGATGAAACAAATCCAGTCAAAATTCTCTACTCCTGGGCACATGCAAATCAAATTCCAAAGACAAAATTCTCTGTCAAATTTCTACCCTTCAGGGTAATATTGCGTTTCAAACTCCTTAACCTTTCCATCATGTGGGGGGGTCTCAAGCAAACTTTTGAATGGTGCATATAAAGGGATGCAATTAAATTAACATTTAGTTAATTGCAAAGTTAGAGGTGAAATTAATCATACTTGACAAAATATCACGACATGGTACGTCACAGCCAAAGGTTACAAAAATGTAACAATCAGTTACAGAAACAGACAACTGACCACTTTCTAACAACTGAAAAACTCTGAATGCCGCTGACAGAAGCTATATTTTGGTGATTTTGAAACGTTTATCCCAAGTTAAAGGAATATTCCTTGCCAAACCATCTCTCTCCTCAGATGGTAGCTATAACCATATATATGCTTGCCATGTTTAGCAAAACACGCAAACATGTTTTGATATGGTCAAATTTGATCACTTAGAAATGTGATGCTCAATTCCAGTAAGCTGCCATCTTTTAAAATTTCACACAGGAAGTGATGTCATTGACTCTCAACTTTGCATAGAGCATTAAGTGAGGAGATATTAAGAATTATAAAACCAGCTAAATATTCTTTTTCAACTTTGTATCTTATTTAATCCTTCTGAAAATCTCTTCTTTTATTCTAAGTTGACAAGCCCTGAAAATATTTTTGCACAGAAAGTAATGATCACTTGTCTAGAAGTGATTTTGTGCTACTTTCATATACTGTTATGGGCAAGGTTATAGAAGTTGAGAGTTGATGACATCACTTCCTGCAAGAAATCTTAAAAGATGGCAGCTCACTGGAAATAAGCACTAGATTTTTAAATGATCAATATTGACCATATTAAAACATTTTCCCACGTTTTGCTAAATATGGAAACGTATATATGATTATAGCTACCATATCAAGAGAGAAAGGGTCTGGCAAGGAATATTCCTTTAAAGACTTTCTCTGTAAGTTCCAGTATCAGGATTGTGCCATTACTCTACCCATCCCCACTTCATCCCCACTTTCAACGGTGTTCAAATTTTAAGAAAGGAGCAGGTCTAGCAAACCAAAATAGGATTGTGCTAAACAAGGAGTTGCCCATCATGATGTAATGAATAAATACTTTTCAAGCTTATATGTTTTGAAATATTCAGACAATGATCGTACTCCAGAAAATTAAAAAATCAATCCCTGACCTTGGTTTTTTAGGAACAACAACATACTAAAGGTCACCAGTTTATCAAGAGCAAAACAATCAGAAAACATAAATCTACAATTTTTCTCAAAATAATTGCTATTAACCTCCAGATTTCAGAAAAGACAGTAATTCTTCTCATACGGCAAAACAGAACAAAATGCAAAACTCTATGTCATAGAGTCTATGATGAATTTTCATCCTGGGATTTTTAGTGAATATTGAATAAGTACCAAATAAAGTTGCTCTTATTTAATTTGCATTGAGCCAAAAATCCAAAAATATAGTATCATATATTGTACAGTATATTTATTTGCAACATACCTGTAATTGTATGATATTCAACAGCTATTAAGTTGGACCTTGTCACCTTCTACAAGTGGTTTGAAGAACTGACATCACATTTGGGTTCATTGGGGTCAACGTAATCGGAGATTTCTCAGGTGAAAGACAGTTTTAATCTGGAACAATAAATGGCAAACAAACTGTACATGATGTACACAAATGGCGACCTGAGACAATGTGATAAAATTCAATTACAGAAGCTATAGAACAACTGAGTTGCATAAAAACTGATATAATTGGCAACAAAAACATGGGATAAACCTTGTTACATCTGTACATGTATTTATCTTAGCTCATCAAACATAGAATAAAAATGACATTATGATACATATAAATTCCATTTGCTTTTATTTTAATGTGCGCAAAATATCAAATAATCTGATCGGTTTAAAATTATAGCCATGGATGCTCACTTGTGCCATGTTTTCTTTCTCATCCCCTTTTTTGCTCCATGGAATTTGTTTTCCATTCCATGGAACAAAAATAGTATCTATAAAAATGGCGATAGGAGTAAAACTTTTGCTTTGTCTATTCTTGAGATAAGAGTCTTAGACATCTACAGGCAAATCCGCTTCTGAGGG